CTCTTGCAGTGTTCGGAATACGAAATACGCATATTGCTGAATAAGTTTGTTCTGTTTCGTTGTTCCTGTGCACGAGTTTTTGTGTTAATGTGTTTTGTCCTTAGAATAATGTTTTGTCTATATGTCTGTAGCTATATCTATTCATAACTTGAAGTTGTTTATGACAGACCACATAAATACATATCTTTCTTCCGTGTTGTTTATTGTGTATCAGATTGTCTGTTTACCTACTTTTTGTTTTATTTAATGTGTATTTAGGGTACTATAGGTTTATTTATAAGATAAATAATACATAAATAAAAAATAAAAGGATTAATTATAGAAAATACAAATTATAGAACTAAAATAATAAACCCGAATAAAATTAAGGAACTACCACGTGCGTGCATCATATATGTGGCATCAAGTAAAGAGCTCATACGTGCGTGCATCACATGCACTTGGGAAAAATGCGGAAATGGGTTGGGGGTTTCCAAAAATGATTTTTCTGTCCATGAATGTAGCAATATATACCAATTCCAACAAATATGCAAAAAAAATTGCATGTGAGGCATTGACTTACAATCTTTTTCTGATTTCGAGCTGCACAGGGAACGTGTTAAAATTTCGAGCTAAGTTTGTGTTGTTTTTCTAACGTGAAAAGTTTTAGAAAGCGTTGTTTCACGCCGTATACTAATCTGTGTATATTTTCAATTTTACTATATATATTTTTTCTAAAGTGATTGATTCAACACTTTCACTGTTAAGCGGAATCAACCAAAGCCATTTGGGGTTGTATAGATTCTTAAATACATAAGGTCAATGCATAATTTTGTTTTAGTAACGACGGCAAATCATTGAACTTCGCTCTAAGAAAAAGGTATTACATAATTAATTGAAGGAGTCATTCGGGTCAAACGTGTACACTTTTGTAATTTAACTTAAAAAGTTACTTGAGATAAAGCATTTATTTGGCTCTAAATTTAAATAAAAAAACACGCGGTTTTGTCTCATCAGTAAACGATCGAAAATTGGAATTTTTTTTTTTCGTTCATTTTTTTATTGCGACTCGACAAAATGACTGCACCGCGCCTGATGGAAAGTGCGAATACAGTCCAGAGATGAGAGTAACGGATGGAAAACACAAATATCTTCACTCCGTCACTATCATTTTGCCGGTCTGGCCAAATGCACTGGATGTACACCAACTGATCCCTGAACGCGATTCGCAAAAGCGTTTCACTGTGGAGGGTTTTCCGCCGTGTGTACTGTGGTCGCTATCCAGTCGGCACAGAGCCTACCACAATGCTAAGCAGATGGACACTTGTGACGCCCTCGGTCGCCTCTTACGACCCCCACGGGCATGTATGGGGAGGCGACAATGTATTCTTAAGCCGTCGCCCCACGGCTAAAATGGAATGCGTTTACTTGACCCTTATTGCGGGTAACTGTTCTTTAGGTAAGTAGATGTCACAGAACAATAAATACTAATAATAATAAATTTTTTTTCTAGCCTGGTAGACGTACATGGGATATGTGAGTGCATTGCTAGCTCATGGTCAAAATAAATATAATAACAATAATAAAGCATTCTTTATTAAAAAAAACTTAGATATTGGAAATGAAGCTATTTATTCGGATATAAATCACGTGCTTTTGTTTTTTCAAACTAACCAACGTTTCGGCCACGGAAGTAATGTGGTCTGTGGTTTCGGCCTCTTTATTGGTCCTATTGTCACGGGTGACTGAGATGGTAAAGAGATGAGAAAAAAAAGGCTGGTGCTACACTGTTTTCTAAGATACAAATAAGTATAGATGTAGACAACAGAAATAGATTTTAGCATAAAAAAGGTTAACCAGTGACCGCATATCCAAGTGATAAAACGGAACTAATTAGCCACTCAAGCGCCTTGATTTGACCCAAACAAATCGCCTAACCTTTTTCCTCCGTTCCGGAGATAGCTCCTGCACACACTTTCCCACTGGATACTCCACAAATCACGCTAACTAAAGTTATTTACCTACTACTGCTACATACAGCAAGGCGCTACTTGCACACGCGCAAATGTGTGCGTGAAGTGGTTAGAGCGACAACAAACGAAAATTCTAACGCGAATCTGTTATCTATAATTGTATTAAGAGAATCCTAATAATTATACATGTTCATTAGGTATTTATATCGATCTAATACTATATTTTTCATTGGTTCACTGACTAGAGTAATAATATTGAAGATTTATTTAAAAATTATATTAAAAGCACTTAAAATGTTATACTTTGGACATATATAGAGTACCCACTCTTAAATAAGGTAACCAAGGCATTTGAAATTGCGTGTCCAAGTTTATCATTCTCTAGTTAATAATTAAGTATATTCCCTACGTCATATTTATCGGCAATACAAATTGAAAATTCGAGAATCCTTGTCTAAGTACTACCTGACGAAGTTATGGCGTCTCATTAAATTGATATAGTAAATCTGTACACTTTGCACTAAATAAATGAACAAAACAATACCTGAATGAGTCTCAGACAAAATTTTTTTTTTTTACTTACTTCGTTTTAACTTTCGGAAAACAAAAGAAACTCCTATCCTTATCCCATTTAAATAATGATAAACAATGCAATTCACGACCATTATAAATAATAAACGTACAATATATATATATATATATATATATATGTATATATATATATATATATATATGTATATATATATATTAACGTACAAGTTTCGTAATGAATAAATGAAAACTATATTCAAATATCAAAGCCGTCTTGGCCCGCCGATTCTTACCTTCGCCGATTCGAGACTTGCTGCCGTTCAGTCAATATGACCGTCAATGTGCGGGGCGTAGTGCGGTACCTAAAGCTAAGGAGGGGCGGAGAGTGTCCGTTCTCGTTACTTTTTCTTTTCTACCACTGCGCTCAGTTACCCCGAACGACTCTACACAGTACAGTTCAGCTACGGTTAATTTGTTATACGCACATACGTAGTAAATAAAATTCAATTATACGTAGGTATGTTCTCATCGTTACAGTTAAAGAATTAATCAGGTCCGCATTTGGGTCAAAGGTCTACCTACCTACTATTGTATGTAGCGACAGCATTTACACAAATGGGCATTAATTTTGTATACGTGTGACACCATTGCGTATATTACTTTCGAAAGAAAGGTTTAGTAGTAGTAGTAATAATAATGACAATCACAATAACAACAAATCAACAACAAATCTGGTCTCAAATGAAGGATCTCCCCTGTAGAAGTACAACAGTAACGAAGGCACGGCCCAGAATGGCAAGATCAGACCGAATCGAGCTAACAGCTAGGCCACCGAGTCAACCCTTATTTATAGATAGCGTTCAATCTACTTACAATCAAGTCAGTGACCTTTATCAGAACAGCGACCGGCCGCCACACGGAAGAAAGAGAATATGTGGTCTGTGGGCCGCCAGATCTGAATTCAGTATTTCCTTTGATGAAAAATCACAAGACGTAATACAGTAGGACTACTCATTAATATGTTTTATGAAGTCAGACCACACTGGGATCAGTAAAGGGCCCAAAATGTTGATTTGTTTGAAAAAAGAAATACACGCTATTTAGACCCGAAAACATAGTTTCATTTCCTACGTGTATCTAATAATCGCGAAAATCGAAGAACTCGGTATGTTTTATTTGATTTTATTTTTTTTTATAATTAATAAATTTAAAAATAGGGCACTTAAATTAATAACTTTTGTAAGTATAGTTAAAAATAGTGGTTTGCATTAATATTATTTTTATTTTGATAATATACAGGTAAGGTAAAATAGACAATAAAAGCGTAAATACTAGAAAGTAAAACTAGGATTTTTAAATTATTTTAATAAAATTGGGTACCCGCGGCAAGATGCCTAAGATGCTGGCAGCGTTCGCCCTTTGTATTGCTATGCTGATGCGTTGGGCAAGGTTTGGGCAAGGGCCCTGGGTTTCCCAGACAGTCTATCAATTTTTTGGATAAAATTTTGTACAGATAAAGGGGACTGCGACCCCACGGGCCAAGGGTTTCGATTCCAAAGGCTGTAAATAGGTAGCCGCTATCCTGGTACTTATTACTTTTTATTCTTTCCGCCAGCTCAGCTGCGGAGCCAGCCCTCTTGCTGGTGTGCTGGAAATGGGATGGGGCAAGTATGTCGGCACATGTGGCGTCCTACACCAGTGCCTGGCCTATACTCCAAGGGATGAGAGTCATTCCGTCCGGGAGTTGGTCATCTGTTCGCGATATGGCGCTTAGCTTGAGTATAGCGGGCACGTTAACAGCGGCAAAGGCCCGGCGGATGATGTCGTTGAGGGCTGCATGCCGGGAGATACGGCCGGCGCTCAGCTGGCAGGAAAGATCATGGTGACATTAATATTAGACATAACTAGTATCAACCAGTCTTCAGTTCTCCATGGTCACCTTTGACTGATTGTTTCATAATTATCAAAATTATGATTATGGTAATTATGAAATTATGAATAATTAAATAAAATTACGATTAAATATATAAAATTAATTAATCATAATTTCAGACGCGACCATGAAGAAATCGAAACGTTGATTTGTTTGAAAAAACTAACATACGTTTTTTTTTTTTTTTTTTTTTTTTTGACATTAAGTAACGGGACGAACAAGTCGTGTGCCTGATGGTAAGCTACACGCCTGCCCGTAACAGTTGCAGTGCCACCAAGAGCTTTAAATTACAAAGATCTTGGGGGCACTGCCACTGCGCCCGTCACCCTGAGACATAAGTTGACAAGTCTCATGTGCCTGTAATTTCACCAGCACCCTTACCCTTCTACGTGATTTAGACCTGAAAAAAATTGTTTCATCATTAATTATTGTGTATTGTTACACAACTGATGGCAACAATACTGTGACAACTGCTCGTAGAACTGCTGTGCAAACCCCTTGACTTATTCTATTTTAGTAGTCTATTTTATAGTTTGGTGCCTTCCAAACACTCTTGGTTAAACAGTCAATGCGTCAAACTCTTTTCATCAGTACAACTGGTAAATAATTCAGCAGGTTCAGAGGTCACTCATTATTATACAAGGAATATAAATGTGTATGGAATTACGACTAGAAGCATTCAATACAGTAAACAGTTTCTCCCCTTTACTACGACTGGTGAGCCGCCTTTAAAAATAACATATTGTGTTCCAATAACATTTAATTTTTTTTTTCATTTACATTTGAAATATGTACAAAGAAGGCAGCAATGCGGATTCCAAATTTGATAAGAATAAATTTGAATCTTCTATAAGTGAATTGAAGAAGAAATCTTTTGTTTCCGCGGCTGATATCGACAGCTATGGTAAGTTAAGTGTATCCGACCACAAACTTTACAACACAATAAATAATCTAAACGAAGACTCTTAAATTGATTGCACTTTCTATTTAACTAATATAACGGCACAAGGTCAATGAAACAAAATTTGAATAATTTTTCTTTTGAATATAAATTCTATACATTTTCGTATGATAAACATAAAATCTTTATTATTATTCGTGAATATGACATTTTCAATAGGTTTATATCATATTCTTGTACAAAATTTTATGTTTGCATCATTTAATTTGGTTAAAAATATCCTTATTCAAAAGTTCCGCACTATTACAATTGGGTAAACCAACGCACTTCTAATTTATCAAAGAAATACGAAAAGGTATGTAACAAGTTACCAATGATATTATACTTGTATGCTCACTGCAAGCTACAGTCTAATAGGTACTAGTGTACCTATGCTTTATCCAATTAAGCGCCTATTAAGGACCTTTTCATAAGTTATGAACACCAACATAAATAACGGTCGCGTGCATCGCGTGAACAGTCCGCACGGTTTTTTGTTTCCTGAGGCCTGCCATGTATCGTGTAGACCTACACACATCAAAAAAAGTTTGCGATCAATAGCATAAGCTCCTATAA